CAACCCAGCTGACAGGCATCGTCAGAAAACAGACGTTTCAGTATGTCTTCCGTGATCCCACACCGAGCCCTCGGAAGCACGAACTCCACAACCGACGTCATCACCCTTGCAACAGTTTGCCAAACTCCTTGGACATTCCAGTGGGAACAAGTTAGGAAACGTTCGCAAAGAGAACAGTCGTGGCGTATGAGCGTTAGCTGACCTTTGAACCTTGACCGGGGTGTCCGTAGTTGCTAAGTTGCTTCGTCCGAAGACGGACAGACGGGCACAGCAAAGGATTCTGCATAAGATGTTCGTGTCGTGTGCACTTAGCGAGGTAAATACGTAAGTTTACTTAAGCGGCCGATGGGATCCGAGAGTACGTGCGGCTCCCGTGTTATTACAAAATTTCGTCTGACGCATCCTTCAAGAACTCCGCAAATGATAGGTCACGGAAGGACAAATGCAAATTACCTTCGTTTCAAGTGAGAAGGCCTCAAAGCCCCGGACCGCGTGCTGACACGCCCACTTTCATCGAGCATCTTCTTCTGTCTTCGCGTCTGATATCGATTCGTAACTTGCAAAGAAGACACTTCAAGGGTGTCCTCCGAAATAAGAGAGGAAAAGTCCACGAACTATTTGTCATTCGTTTTAACATCCAAGAGAAATCTGTATCAATTGCGACACGCGTGTTACGATCTCTACTCCAGCACGAAAAAACTCTCGTCCGTCCGTCCTAGTGGTCACTGCGGGTGGCCGACCTCTTGTAACGCTCGCACGTCTGCGTGAGAGCGTATTTTACGACTAATAACCTCCAACGTGTGTTTTAATAACGCAGTAATCGCGTTGTCGGCGCGTGGTGTACAGAACTGACCGATCGATTTGTTTTTGTTTATTACGTGAGTCCGCAATGGACAATCGATTCGCCGCCAAATTCTCGTGTTCACTGCGCACAAAGAATTTGGACTTGGTTTAGCTTTTCCGATTTTTAATGTTTCATTTCCCTTTCCTTCGTCAAATATCTTCTTGAGGCATGTTTAAAAAACACTTTCCCCCCCCCCATTTTCATAGACACGTTTACTTTTTTTAAAAAAAAACAAAGCTCATGTGACAATCCCACGCACCATGGATTAGTTTTGCCAGTCGACTATTTGATGGGTAGGGAACTCGGTTTTACGTTTCTATGTGGGAGTACGAATTTCTTCTTCGAGAGGCAGGGACCTGTAAGGAAGCGCTTCCTGGTGGACAGAAGAAGTGAAAGGAAGTCGTAATTTTTCCACAGCTGCTACTTTCACGTTGGACCGTAATTTACAATTCTGTCCGCGCTCATTTAAATGGGTTTTAGTGCCTGGTTCGTGGCAACGAGGTCAGGAGGCACCAAATGTGCAGACCCAGAAAAATACGTGCGCCTTCTTTGTCAGGCAGCCTGAAATACGTACGTGCAAGACTGCAAAGTAGCGCGCGAACATTACGAACACACACGACATTTAACACGTCTTTTAGTCACTACCTGAGCTCAGACGGGAATGCAAAGGCGCACTCCGAAAGAAACACATTTAAAATACTTCAGTAGTCAGAAACGTCGTTAAATAATTGCACGCGTTAATTAGCTCTGTGGTTCGGAGCGTGCCGTCGTTTTTCGGAAAAACAAAATTGAATATGACCCAAAAATGTTACCAAATTTCATCGAAATCCGTAAAGGAGTTCCGGAGATGAGAAACATCTAAAGAGACACAAGGCCGAAGGCTTCCGTGAGGAGTAGCATCACCTCTTCGCCCTCTTTTTGCAGACAGTGCAAAGAACTCGTGACGCAGATTCGTCCTCCGGGGTCCGTGCATTCGGTATGCGTCTAATATACACTATAATGGGACTTCGTAATAACAGCCCTGAGTCTGCCGCAAGACAGCAGTCGCTCACGACACGCCGGTCACTGCGTGGTTTTACAATTTCTCGTGCTTCTCTGCCTTGGCCAGCGCACAGCAGACACATCGCGAGAAGTTCTCTAATTGCCTCCTGCACACTTTCCATCCGTTCGTTCGTTCCTGTCAACGAAGAAACGTTCTCTGTCTCGAGCAATTAAAAGCTACGAAATTGCAACTGGTATGGCGATTATAAAGAACTGCCAACCGCAACGCCGTCGACCGACTGCAGAAGGCCAATTTCAAACGGTTATTAACTCGGGAAAACTGTTTCTTCTTTCTAAATCACTTCCATCATCAGTAAGTCCTCATTACTTTCGAATCAGCAGAGATGCCGTCTCTTGTCTGAAAACGAACAGATCCAACTACAAAACTGCCTCTTGTTTTGTATGGGTGTGAAACTTGGTCTGTCGAATTAGGATTCCGGATGTAAAAGGAGTAAGGTAAAACGTGGCTGGCGAAAATGCATAATGAAATCGAGGATGAAATGGGCCAGACATGTAGCGCGCGTGTGGGAGATCCTGAGGAGAAGAGAGAAGCATACGGGCCGTGGCGGCCCCTTGCGAGCCTTGCCGTGTACACCACAAGATCCGGGAAAATTCTCCAGTGCCTGAACGCACTGGCAACCCCTCGAGAAGGACTCTGTTCCGTGGAGTTCCGGTAACAATCTTCCGGCATCCGTGCCAGCCAGAAACTGATCCTTGCATCCGTCTGTAGGAGGTGTTGTGCAGTTCGCTTAAGTCACAGCTTCCTGGCTTATAGTGTGTTAACGAAATGCATTTTGGCCTTTACGAACTGAGACTGCCGCTGGGAAATATTTTTTTCAAAACGGACAGTGCGTGCTTCCCCTCACCCATCGCGTTAAAATTTTAACGCACGTGGAACGCGCAGATTCGTCCGTGCTACTGTACCAGAGACGGGGGCGTCGGGTCACGTGGTTACGAGGAGTTCTTCTCTGTTGTCCGGTTCAATTCAGCCCGAACGAGGAAGGCATTCGGTTCGAATTATGGAAGAAATGAAATCTGGCAATGAACGGAGGAATGGGCGTTGGAAAAAGGAAGGCAGTTTCTGTCTCAACGCCACCCGGAGAACCACCGCCGATGAGGAGGGCGAAGAAGAAGGCTGTCGGAGCGGCACATGATTTATGAAGAGTCGCAAGAAGTTTCTTCGTTGCACAGAAACAGAAAAGCAGGCTCTCGTCCTCGAAGAGAAACCCAATTTCCTGACGAAGCTTTTGCACGACAGTTTCATCTTGGAAGGCCTCTGGATGTTCCGCCACGCACTGTCTTTTTACAGACGGAACCAAGCCCAGCGACGCTGAACAGTGCAATGGCCGGCCAGTCGCGTATGAAGAACGTAATGACGTTCTCTGTACGCGCCTGTAGCAGCTGTGACCGGCTCCCTTTCTTAGCTCTGAAACTGGCACCTAATTTCAGGACGAAACCACTTCAATTCAATGCGTTTGCCGCAGTTAGCACAGAACAAGCCAGCTGAAACGCGTTGTGCAGTTTCAAATATCATTCCAGGGACCGCGCGGCACTCGCTCTAGGAACGCGGAATTACGGAGTTGAAAACTGTCGTAAGAGTGGACCAAACGCCAAACAGAAAGGAGATTTTTAACAGAGTTGCTGCAGAGGAGTCGTTTGTTAGGCCACAAACAGTTCATAATTTTGCAACAGCAACACTCTTGCCTCATTAAATGTCCTTTTGTGACTGTTTCGCCTTGCTCTTAAGCGTCTGTCTGCATAATAAGTTCTGCGCGGACAAGTGCCAGTTGGTGATATAATTTTTAAATCGATTTCGCCTCGCCAATGCTGTTGAGGGGTTTCGCTCCTTATGGGATAATATTTACTGCCTCGTGTTTGCAGACGTGTTATTTTCTAGCGTGGAAATATTTAAATCGATTTCGTCCTCCTCGCACTGGCCAGCCAATTCCCTCCCTGATCACGTGATTAAGGACTCGTTCTAAATGATTCAGCGGATCGGACCGAGGGCTAATCCAAGTTTCCGACGTTATCAAGATTTGAAGAATTTATTTACTTGGTTTCCATTAACAAATGAACGTCACTGGTGTGAGAACGCCAAATAGCTACAAGAAAGTAGCAGAACTTGAACTCCATGCCCAATGTTGAGTGAGTACGCAGTTGTGTGTTCAAAGTAACGAGAGAGGAACGTGATTCGTGTTCACACCGAGTACTGAGAACGACCCAGGATCGATTTT